TATCGGCGTTTGTGTGACGCTCGCTCTATTTCAGGCTCTTACAACGGCGGTCGTCGATAGAAGATTTTGCTTCGCATCAGATAATGAGATCACGTGGATCGGATTTGGATCGTGCATTCCAGCTTTGGATCGGCGGATCGGATTTAAGAAAAGTGGAGGAGGATAAGATCACGTGGATCGGATTTTGTATCGTGGATTCGAGCTTTGGATCGACGGATCGAAGATAAAACTTGTTCGAAAATAAGATCTCCTGATCAGGCAAGCCAACAGAGAAAAAGGGAAAGGTGGGTCGGGCAGCAGCAGCGCAATGGGCACAGCAGATATGGAGGAAGAGGCGACGATAAGAATGGAAGGGAGAGGGAGAGGGAGAGGGGAGGGAGAAGAGGCAGAAGGGGGAGAGGAGGGGGAGGAGGTGTTCGGTTCCGATGCTGGCGGATTAGGGTTTCCTATGGCTGGCGTGGAAGAGTTCGGTTTTGGCGATGGCAGCTTCAGCGCCAAGCAAAGGAAGATGAAGAAGAAAGCCAAATCCGGCGGATTCGAGTCATTGGGCCTCAGGTAAGGACAACGAATGAAGTAGTGCCCAAGGTGCGCTCACTACCTCTCAGTCTCTGTGGGCCTTCAGCTCCACGACTCACGACGGCATGCACAAACGACAAAAAACAAACGACAAAAATTTTAGCGGTGCATCTTCCCATGTTCTAGCTCAAGATTCGTTTCCAATTCGCGCTTTTTTTTTTTTTTTTTTTTTTTTTTTTGCAATTCGCACATTTCGTGCGAAGTGGAGCGAGGCCCTGTGTTCTCTCTTATTCCTTTCTCTCTCTCTCTCTCTCTCTTTTTCACAAATGTTGCTCTCAGTTTGTCGTTCTCTTAGCCCCTTCGACAAAATATAAATTTATAAAATATTATATACATCAGGGTTACCAGCCCGTACATACGGAGGCCCTCGGGTGGACCTCCGTACGTTCCGTACGTTCGGGGTCCGAACCTGAAGGGGTTCGGCCCCCGTCGAAAATGATTTCGGGGGAAATTCGGGGCCTAATTTTATTTATTTATTTTGATTTTTTTTGGGTGAGCTCTTTATCATGTGAAGTAGATGGCTATAAATTTTGAAGCCATTTTGCCAAACCAAAATGGAAAACAAAATGGAAAATCGCCAAAGATGGCGGTGTCAAAACGTGCTCGCCCACTCACTATATCATTATTAATTTATTACAATACATATAAATATATATATATATATATCGTCACAAACAGAACTGCCCGGTAAACCGTAGGCAGAGAGAGAGAAGAGGGCAACAATATATATTATATTATATTCTTCTCCCTCTCGGCCTACGGTTTACCGGGCAGCTCTGTCTGACTATATATACGATATAAAAAATAAAAAAACGAATTGATTTTTTCTTGTTTTTTTTCGCTTTTGCGCTCTGATATCTTTGTGACGATATATATACACACCTAAACCATGTCATTGGTGATGATTTAATATTTATATATTGCGTCCTCTATCTTATGGTATCTCAAGTAACGAGAAACGGGTACAAGTCCTTCGGGACATCCGTTAAAATTGGAACGATAAAGAGAAGATAGGTTTTTTTTTTAATTTTTATTTTAAGCTCAACCAATTCAAATACCTGTCGAATCTGGACAGGACGGCCTTTCGGGCCTTTTTTATTGTCATTATAGCATGGCCCCTGCGCAAGGATGACACGCGTAAATCGGGAAATGGCCCAAAAGAAAAAAAAAGAAAAAAAAGGAAAAAGAAACGGGCACAAAAACATACAAGAAAATGAAGCCAATTTCACAGATACCAACGAAATTGAGATAGCAATGACAGGGAAGACTGTGAAGAAGAAGAGCAGGTGCGTGGAATTATATCTTTTTTTTTTTAAAAAAAGGACACTGTGTTGTCATGTCAATTTCAAGTTACTTCTCCCCTCTTCTTCCTCAGGACTCCTTTTTTTTTTTTTTTTTTTTTTTTT